ACACCACAATCAATTTTAAACCACATTTGTTGCCACAATCAAACGCTTAGCTGCGTCACTACCGTGCCATCATTTCCTCTATTGTATAGGCGGCCTCTGTAGTAACTGAATAGTCGTCTAAAAAGTCGCTGGTCCCTTTGAATCCCAGTCAAGACGAATACTGGTGTAAATTTGCAAAGCATTGATTTTTCTATGCACATATTAACCAAGAACGTCCCTCTTACGGTATTTCTAATTCTGTCTTCGAGATTTTATACGTGTTAGAGCCATGTTGTATCATGGCTGTAGCACGAATGGGTTGCCTCACAGAATACTACCGTAAAACTGCAGCTTGATGCTGCTGTGTTTCTTGAACCGGAGATCCCTTTTAATGGAAACGAGGCAATTCATCTTAGTCCTCAAGTATGACAACGCATCAACATTTTAATACTTATTCAAGGATAGATGTAGATGTCTGGGCCATAACATCCACTTACCATCGGGTGGACTGTGTGCTCGTTTGGTCCCCCTATTCTAAACAAAAAAGTTTTCATAATAAACGCTACAAATAAAGAATCTATAAGCGCCATCGTTCCCTCGATGTCGTAAGGGAAGACTATGAGGAACGCCAATTAGATCGCATGGATTCTACGTAGGTCACTCAATAAGTTTTGAGACATTCAAAAAGTATTCTAAATACTATTAATATTTATTTTAAATCTTTTCAAAATATTCTCCATCATGCTCTATACAAAGTTCCATTCGCCTAAACCAACTCTGAAAACACTATTGCCAGTCTTGATCTGACAGGTCGGAAATCGTTTCTTCGTAGGCAGCCACGGCTTCTTCGGAGCTTGAAAAAACTTACCTTTTATTTTTTCTTTGACTCTTGGGAACAAAAATAAATTACACGGACTTAGAGTTTTAGATTCCTCAACAAATGCTTTTGTTCTAAGGGAGATACGTAAAGAGAAGACGTTATCGTGATGCAGCATGATTCCCCGAAGCCCGCTCTTTGGTCTTCTCTCCCACACAGCTTGAAAAGCTTTGGGTAATACAACTGTTTTTAAATTCAGAGTTGACTGACCTACAATTTTCCAGCATGGTCGTCGACAAATGTCCGCTCCACGAAAAAAACTAGCCACCATTTTTTTGCCGACGTTGCGAGGTCTTTGCAGTTTTGTCGGTAACTGTCCATCTGAGTAGACCCATACCGATGATTGCCTTTTATTTTCCGGATCATATTGACAGATCCATGTCTCGTCACCAGTAACGATTTCTGAAACACGCCTAGATGATCTGTTTTCAAAACGTAGACGCTTTTCATGGCACGTATCCACACGAGTCTGTTTTTTGCTTTCGGAGAGCAAACGAGGAATCCATCGACAACAAAGCTTCCTCACTCCAAGATGTTGATGTAGGATGGTACGATTGCTTTTTGATGTCTGTATATGTGATTATATTTTCTGTAGTCCATACATTTTCTGCCGTTATTGCTGTTTGCGGGGCCTCGGTTCTTTGGTTATTTTAAGATTAATTTACCCCTTTTGAATTCAGTAAAACATCTGAAAATTGTTGCGCGTGATGTAACTGAGTCCTTTAATGCTGATTGTAACCGTTGTAAACTTAATTGTTCGGTTAAACCAAATTTAAAATGATAATATATCATATTGTGCAGATGTTCACGGTTCAGATCCATCGTTTTAAATGAAAAGCTCGGGAAGCGTTGTAGGAAAATTAATAGAACTTTGTTTTTTTTTCAATGTTGAGCAATTGGTTATGGAGTTCTATTTTTAAATAAATTTGCTTTTTAGAAACATATAACACGGGTGCGTTCCATTTATAAATTTCGAGCATCTCAAAACTTATTGAGTGACCTACGTAATAAATGATGGAAAAATATACCAAAATTGTCAAATGGACCAACTGGTACCTCGATTTCGATTTCTCCGCCTGCTAAACGTGATGATTAAGGCAAACCCCCCCCCCCTCCATGTTGAACGTGTAGCAGCGGTGTAAGAATATCCACTACTCCATATTCAAACCAAATCAAATCAATACATAATAAAATATAAAATATAAGGTTTGTTCTCTATGTCCCGCCAGTAGGCACACAAAATATAAAATTAATAATTTCAATATTCATTAATAACATTCATTAATTTTTTCTTCTGATGTCAGGTTCTAATTGCAATCATCATATAATATATTAATAGTCATGAAAAATTTTTAATAGTTTCCCTTTGTTGTCTCTTACGATACCCACGGATCAGGGTATCGTAAGAGACAACAAAGGGAAACTAACCAGGAAATGGACACCGTCTTCATAATGACAATTAAATATAAAATACTGCTTTTACCAATACGCCTGCCAAGTGTATGTATATACAATGGTAAATATGCCCCATATGAAACATTCTATGGGGAGGCCTACACTCAGCAATGGAGTTTGATAGGCTGAAACAGCAACAGTATATATACGGTGTTTTTTTTTCAAATTAGATTAGAATTAAAAAAAATATAACTTTAACTTAAAGTTTGAAATTTTAACAAAACTACTTCAATAGCGAGACTTTATTTACATAATGTGTAGTTAAAATAGCAAATGATGTATTTTGATGTGTTATTCCACAATTATTTACATACCACATATAGAATATTCGATGACCACCAAATATTACAAGTGGTACATGATTAGATACCGATTAGACCGATATTTACCTACCAGTATTAACAGGCTTTCACAAAATATATGCTTTCACAAAATATATGTATGTATATCCAAACCTGGAAAGTAATAATTTTTCTTTTAGCCATTATCAAAACCTGCAATCAAGACGTTTACAGTCTGACAATATAAACAAAAATAAAATAAACGGCTTGTAAAATTTAATTGCTTGAATAAACAGAAAGATTTGGAAGAGTTATTAGATTATATTCTTACATGCTTTACTATAATTTGTTTAAATTAAATAATAATAATAAACCATTCAATAAGTTTCACAAAAGAAGATTTACTACTAGCATCGAGAATATAATAACTACTAGGTCCTTACATATGAAATTAGCGTTTTGTCGGACTGACCACTTTGATCTGAAATATCTCCTCTTTGGTTAAGAATTCTAAATTCACATTTATAATTTCATTTACCTGGTACATTTGAGTTTTGAAAACAGTCATTCATTTGTTTTTTCCTCATTATTTTTTTTTTTGGCATCGCTTATTACCGCACAATGGAAAACATGAAATATGGGTATATTTACGAGTACGAATTCTACCGTGGCACCAGTGCTGCAGAAACAGCTCGAAGGCTTAATGATGTGTACGGCGCTGGTGTCGCAAAAGAAATCACGGTACGGTTTTGGTTTTAATGTTTTCATTCTGGAAATTTTGACCTTCAGAACCAACCCCGTGGACGGCCGGAGACCAAAGTGGAAAATGAAGAATTAAAGGCCATTGTGGAAGCGGATCCATCACAAAGTACTTCAGAGATAGGTGCAGGCTTCGGGATAAGTGATATAACTATATTAATTCACTTGAAGCAAATCGGGAAAGTAAAAAAAACATTAACGATGGGTACCTCATGAATTGAGTGAAGCGAACTTGCAAACACGCGTCGACTGCTGTGTTACTTTGCTCGACCAACACAATAATGATGGGATTTTAAATCGAATCATTACTTGTGATGAAAAATGGATACTGTACGATAACCGGAAGCGCTCGTCGCAATGGCTGAACCCTAGAGACCAAGCAAAATCCGGCCCTAAACGAAAATTGACTCAGAAAAAGTAACTTGTGAGTGTTTGGTGAACTAGCGCCGGTGTCGTTCACTACAGCCTTCTAAAATCTGGCCAAACAATTACGGCAGATATCTATTGTCAGCAACTGCAAACCATGAAGGAAGAACTAGCTGCTAAACAACCGAGATTGGTCAATCGCTCTAGGCCACTGCTGCTTCACGACGACGCAAGACACACACTGCACAACAAACAACCACTAAGTTATATGAGGTACAATTGGAATGTCTGCGACATCCACCGTACTCCCCGGACCTTGCTCCAGCAGATTACCATTCTTTTCGGAATTTGGACAACTTCTTACAAGGAAAAAACTCAACTCCGATGTGGCAGTCCAAACCGCCTTCAAAGAGTTTGATTCTCGCTCCCTTGGTTTTTTTTAGTAAAGGGATCAATGAACTACCTATAAAATGGCAAAAGTGCATAGATAACAACGGTTTATACTTTGATTAATTAAATATATTTTACAAAAAAAAAATGACTTTATATTCCTCCCGTACAAAACGCCAATTTCATATGTAAGGACCTAATATTTTTTTTTGTTTTTGTTATCTTCACGCACAATCCCTGACGGGGTAGCCAGAGAGAACAGATCGCCAAGTGTCACGATCCTTACATACCTCTTTCGCTTCTTTCAGGTTCATTATCTTCTTCATACATGCACGTCTAGGTATCCGAGTACTCTTGACCCTACCCTCTTCGAGCAATTTGCTCACATGGTTTTCGAAAGTTAGGTCTCAGTCTACCTCGACACCTTTTAATATTAACTTTCGCGCTATATATTTTCTTCACCATTTGGTCTTCACTCATTCGCTCAACGTGCCCAAACCACCGAAGCACGCCCTTATCAATTTTTGTGATAAGGTCATCTTTCAAACCTGCCATATTGCGAATCTCTTCGTTTCGCTTTCGGTCGGCCATGGTAACGCCGCACATTTTACGAAAAGATCGCATCTCCACTGCATTCAACTTGCTTTTATGCTTCTTCTGGCATACCCAGGTTTCGCTGCCATATAACAAAGTCGGTACCAACACTGCGTTATGTATTGCAAGGCGTGCACTCTTCACTACGCCTTGCCTTTTGACTAACGCAGTCAGGGCACCATTGACTTTGTTCCCGACAGCGACACGCCTGTCCACATCTAAATCACATCTTCCATCCCGATAAAAGCACTCCCCAAGTATACAATTTCATTTACTTGTTCTAGACATTCCTGATTTACCCATATTTCACACTTCGTTCTCTCTTCGTCCCTTTCAAATACCAGAACCTTAGTTTTATTAGCGTTCAAACGGAGACCTTTAATTTCACATTCCTCTTTCATACACGTGACTAATGCCTGCAGTTCTGCCTCTGATGGTGCAATAAGCACTGCATCATCAGCATACAGCAGACAATTTACTTTTATGTCACCCAATTTCACACCCATACAGCTATCTTTCAGCTTTTGTAAACAGCTGTCGAGATACAGTATGAACAGCCAGGAAGACATGACACAACCCTGTTTTACGCCCGTTTGAACGCTAAACATGGGTGACAGGTCATGCCCTACCCGCACACAGGCTTTACAGTCACCGTAAAGAGACTGCACAGCCCTTAGCAATCGACTATCCACACCATACCCCGGCAACAGTTCCCACATTTTCTTCCTTACAACCTTATCAAATGCTTTCTCAAGATCCACAAAAGCACAGAAAATCCTCTGGTTAGCAGCCAGAAACTTTTCCGTGATCATGCGGAGAGAAAACATTTGATCCGTGCATCCTCTTCCAGGTCTAAATCCGCATTGTGCCTCCCATAGAAATCTTTCCGATTTCTCTTGCATCCAACGTGTCAAAACCTTCGAGTAAATTTTACTTGCTAAACTGGTCAAGCTGATCGCCCGATAGCACCCGCAGTCAAAATGTGAACCTTTACCTTTATATAAAGGCACAATGACTGCGGATCGCCAATCATCCGGGACATCCCCCGTCCGCCAGCACAAATTGCACAGCAGATGAAAGCTGTCCCAGACGCGAGGCCCACCATACTTGACCATTTCAGCAGTAACTCTGTCTAGTCCCGCAGCCTTACCACATTTCAAACTTCGAATCGCACGTTCAATCTCTTTCATACTGATGACCTCAGTGTCATCGAAGTCCAGGTCTGGCGTACCAGTCACGGCGTCATCCCCGGATCCCCCACTAAGATCATCACACGCATACATTTCTCTATAAAATTCGCTCCATCGCTGTATGACGTTCCTACGACCTAATATTCATTCAAAAAAATTTTTTTTTCTAAGAAATGAAAGAGATCTTATAAACTTTTTGCTACAAAGAAGACAGTAATATTCAACACTTTATATTGATATAAGAAATTGGACCATTATAAATTTTTTCAATAATATTCGCAGGTATTCTTCGCCCTCCTCGCGGTGGCCGCAGCCAAACCTTGGCTTAATGACGACGTAAGTGATACAGTACTAGTAAGTCACAAAAATCAAACGCTTCATTTGACGATCAAAATATTACAGATAATTTTAATTTTTCCAGCTGCACTCGCTTAGCATCATAGAGCAGCTATGCCGTAGCAGCGCCTGTTGTTCACGCAGCCCCTGCTTCAAGTGAATTAATATAGTTATATCACTTAATATTATTCGAATCCTGCACCTATCTCTACTTTGTGATGGATCCGCTTCCACAATGGCCTTTAATTCTTCATTTTCCACTTTGGTCTCCGGCCGTCCACGGGGTTGGTTCTGAAGGTCGAAATTTCCAGAACGAAAACATTGAAACCAAAAACGTACCGTGCTTTCTTTTGCGACACCAGCGTCGTACACATCATTAATCCTTCGAGCTGTTTCTGCAGCACTGGTGCCACGGTAGAATTCGTCCTCGTAAATATACCCATATTTCATGTTTTTCATTGTGCGGTAATAAGCGACGCCAAAGAAAAAAATAATGAGGAAAAAACAAATGAATGACTGTTTTCAAAACTCAAATGTACCAGGTAAATGAAATTATAAAGGTGAATTTAGAATTCTTAACCAAAGAGGAGATATTTCAGATCAAAGTGGTCAGTCCGACAAAACGCTAATTTCATATATAAGGACCTAATATAATAAAATTATAACACGACGTCTGGTTGAACACGCATCACATAAAAACCTGTTAACCGATTTATATAGGACTTTAACTGTTAGATAGCTGATGTTATGAGGAGTATCTTAAGCTACTTTTATTTTAGGAAAATAGTTAGGGTTCCACGCGAAAAATATTAAAACCCATGAAATCCAATCACAATAAGTTCCACGCGCGTGCAGCCGCGGGGAACAGCTAGTTTAAAATAAATATAAACAACTAATTAGCTTGCAACGTTTAGGTGTTCTGAAACGCGCTAGCTCGATGGGAGCATGATGTATCGACGATGCTACGGCATAAATAAATACACAGTGGCATAGTTGCCATCAGTGTGCACTTGCATGTAAGAATGCCGAAGGACCCTTGTCTTTCGTTCCGCTTGTGGGTGCTGGGTCTTAAATTAGAATAAAATTTCTAAATTAATAAATATTTATATATTTTCTAGGTAAAGAAAAAATGTAATTGTTTATAACATGACTACGACCATGAGTACGTTTACTAAGAACAAATAGCCCGACTAGGTAAGTCGAACTTTGACCGAGAGGCCAATTGACGGATTCATCCCGGTTGGGGAGCGTTCAGCAGATAACGGCACATGTCGTCAGGTATACCTCAAAACTTGAATATATGTCATCATTAATTAGAGGCCTCGTTTAACATTTTCAAGATGGGAAATATCGATCGATCTTACGCTTCTACCGAGAGGCTGCTTCCTTATTGATTTTTTATAGGATAACGGAGACAAATGAGCACAATGTCCACCTGATGGTAAGTAAATTCTGTGGCCCATGGATATCTACATCTATCCTTGATTAAGTTTAGTGTTAAGTGGTTTCTAAAAGCAGTCACTTGACACGTATGTTTTTTCCCCATTACTAAAGTAAGAAAAATTAAAGGGGAAATTTCGACAGGCAACAGTTGATCTGCATTTCGATCAATCGTTTTTAATACTCCGCATATTTGAAATATCTAAGTCTGAAATACCTATATTACAAGACTGGGTGACTGACCTGAGTGATGAATTCATGGAGTAAGTCTGTCCGTTTACTGTACTATATGTGCGTTTACTTGTTTACGATAAGTTATTTTAAGGTTCCGTACCTCAAAAGGAAAAAACGGAACCCTTATAGGATCACTTTGTTGTCCGTCTGTCTGTCTGTGTGTCTGTCAAGACCCTTTTTCTCAGGAACGCGTGAAGGTATCGAGCTAAAATTAATATCAAACACTCAAGTCTATTGTTCCTTGGAGCTGTAAAAAAATCAAACTTCTAAGCCAACGCAATCAAAAGATACAGGCTATTATCCCGCTAATTTTCGACATTCGCAAGGAAATCAAACCTACAAGGTACTTCCCGTGAACTCAGAATCTTAAAATTTGGTATGAGGCAACGTATTATACAGCACAGATAAAGGGAAAATTGCGAAAAGCATACATTTTTAGTCACATCAAATAATAAAAACATTTATAATAATTTTAAACTTATATACCTACGGATTTGTTCGGAACCCTCAGTGCGCGAGTCCGACTCGCACTTGGCCGGTTTTTTTAATAAAGAATAAGGGTGACAAACGAGCAAACAGTCTATCTGATTGTAAGTGGATATACACGTATAATATATGTATATTATCATATACATTTATCCTCGATTAAAAACCAAAATGCAGATGCGTTGTCACCCACGAGAACTAAGACGAAATGTCTCGTTTCTAGTAAAAAGGATCTCCGGTTCTCTGTTTGAAGGTACTAGGTTTTGCTTAAATGTCAAGAACGGTCAAGTTTTTCAAAAATATGTAACCTTGCAATAGAATTTACTATTGAATCTTCTTTTTTACTCATCTGCTCCAGAAGGAGAGTAAAGTTTTTCTAGAGTATACATGTATGTCTATTTCTTTGGCCTCTTCTGTAGCTTCAACGGCTTGATGAATTTTGTCATATTATGTTTTTTATAGGATTAGGGTGACAAACGAGCACACATTGCATCTGATCGTAAGTAGTTGCTGTGGCCCCCAGACATCTCCATCCATCCTCGACTACGAATAAAATGCAGGTGCGTTGTCACCCGTGAGGACTGAGATGGAATGCCTCGTTTCCAGTAAAAGGGTATCCGGTTCTCTATACTCACCTTATTAAACACATAAATTGCTTCAGGATTAATATTATTAAAAATAAAATATTTACATACATAAGAATGTTACTCGATATAATATCATGTTAGTCCTAAGAGGTGGGCATTTTGATTTTTAATCGACTATAGATGTAGCTGTCTATGGTTTACAGCATTCATTTACCGTCAACCAGACTGGGTGCTCGTTTGTGAGGTAAGAGCATTAAAAGGTTTCTATGATCCGTTAAAGTTAGTTAAAGTTACAGCCTATATATGATAAATGGTGTGATTCGTATTGACTGCTTATTACCAATTGGTCGGGCTTAGCGTCCAATGTCACTTTTAAATAACATGCTGGTGGTGTCATTTAATATTATTATTAAGTTTCCTGGATACTTTATTTTCTATTATTAGATTTCATATTTAGTTCTTTTACGAGGAAATAAAAAAATGCTATCTGTCTTGGTACATACCATAAATAAATGAACATGACATCTGTTTATTTATATAATATCTTTATTGATTATACAATGTTAAATTGGCGGACTTAATTCTTTTAGGTATTCTCTGCAAGTTAAGCAGAGAAACTTAAGCTAGTGCCATATAACATGATAATGTTTATATACATAAAAATAAATATAAAAATCTACATAACATTCATATAAATACACTTAAGCATATCTGTCACTACGAATAACCTACATAATATACGCTATACCTGTTAAATAGTATACGCACATAAATAATACATAATACACACATTATAAGCATACTTACATATAAACATAATATATATTATACAGAAATCATAACATGAATCCATACATAGGCAGAAATATTTAAGAAAGTTAGCCACTGGAAGAAGAAAGGTAGTAATCTGACACCGTTCTCTTAAAGGCAGCAACAGAAGTCGGTTTCCTTATGACCGTGATGGTAAGTGAATGCTGTGGCCCATAGACATCTACAGTTTTCCTTAATTAAGAATCAAAATGCAGATGCGTTGTCACCCCGGAGGACTAAAATGGAATGCCTCTTTTCCAGTAAAAAGGGTCACTGGTTTTCTTCACTCACCATACGAAACCTTAACATTAAGCGGCTATTTTACGCTGGTATTCTGTGTGAACGTGGTGCTTCCGTGGTCAAGTTGGCCCATTCCTGATACAACCATAGTATAGCTGCAGCGTGGGTCTACCACGTATAAACCTTAAGGCCTTAGCGGTGAAAGACTGAGATATAAATTTGGTACGGCGAGGGAAATACATAAGACATTATCTTCGGCAGATCGGTAAATCAATAAAACTCAAAGTGTATAGATTAGGAAATACTTTATTTGCACCACGCCCACAGTACGGACATGATCTCAACGCTTAAAATAATAAAATAGTATTTAACCATTATTTACAACGCATCCAAGAGCACCCAGCTTACCATCCATGACCGTATGAGCCCAAAGACAGGTATTTCTGGATGACAGGCTGGGCATAGGACTCTAAAACTGGTGCTGAATGGACGATGGGTTGAGGGATAATAGCAGGGGCAGCGTGGACAACAGGGGCGGCCTGGATAACAGGGGCGGCATGGATCACAGGCCGTGCTACGGAAACTGGGTGGATTACCTGAAATTCAATATCCAATATTAATAAGATTGTTACTATTTTTATATAAGGTGGATTGTGTGGTCACTTGTGACCCTTGTGAAAGCCGTGGTAGCTCTAATGGTTAGCGCTCGCTATAAATTTCACAGCATGCGAGCAAACCGGGTACGATCTCCACCCGCACCAATAAAATCGTTAATTGCAATTTTAAGTGCTGATTGACCACGTGCTTGGCGGTGAAGGAAAACATTGTGAGAAAAAAATATTTCGAAGACATGTGAAATTCGCTAACATGCGTTGGGGCAGCGCATCGGACACTTCCTAGCCCTAAATCCCACTCAGAAATGAGCTTTTCGACAGATGGCGATGTATACATCTCGTTTACAAAACGTAAATATCTATACTAATATAATAAAGAAGTAGAGTTTTTTTGTTTGTTTAAACGCGCTAATCTCTGGAACTACCAGTCCGATTTGAAAAATTCTTTTTGTATATTATAGTCAGATTCATGTGAAATAGTATAGGCTATCTAGCATTAAACTATATTATTCAACTAGCCTTAAATATGGATATTTGTTAAGCAAGTCAGAAGAAAAAGCACTCCCGAAATAATTTATCCGCGTACGCTGGTGTTATCGTTAGGGATACGTAAATACAATGTTCTAGAAAAATATAGACCTTTACTCCGTCTAAAAAAAAGTCCGTAATAACATATGTCTATTTCTTATACATAAGCCATAATTTGGTATTTTGTGACAAAAAATACTGAAAACTTAAAAGTGATTTGTGAGCGATATTATTAGGCATGGCGTATTTATGATTACGAACGAAAGTTACTTCATCATCAAGACACTTTTATGAAGATAAACTTTGTTCTTTTTACCGTGTTATTTGGACGCATAGTTTAAGAGATAATGAAAAATTAAAATAATTCAATACTTGGCTGGGCGCGCGAACGACCTTAAACCCTAGCCGTTATAAAATGCTTGAACTAGGTCATGTCGCGCACCTCGGACACATTGTCACATCCGTGTAACAAGTGTAACGGTTAAGGCGAAATCTCCTTACAACGGTAGAGGATCAGGTCCAGCAGTAGATTTTTTTGGGCTTACGATGATGAAGAGAATAAAAAAAATTGTTCTCTTATTTGATATATATCTACTGTTGTGTGTAAAAAGGAGTTGGCCAGGCTTGATTTTATTAAAAGAAGGAAGGCGTACCCGTTGGAAGGAAGAGTAACTGGTTGCAGCAGGCTTAGCGATGGCCACGGGGGCTGCGTGGACAATGGGCGCAGCGTGGACAACGGGCGCAGCGTGGACAACAGGCGCTGCTACGGCATAGCTTGGCTGTTGTATGAAGCTAAGCGAGGACAGCTGGAAAAATTAAAATTATGTGTAATATTTTGATCGTCAAATGAAGCGTTTGATTTTTGTGACTTACTAGTACTGTATCACTTACGTCATGTTCCCATCCCCCTAAAGAACCACCGGACCAACCAAGAGAGAGACCACCGGGCTTGGGTTTGGCCGCGGCCACCGCGAGGAGAGCGAAGAATACCTGGAATTATTATTCAAAATATTTATATTAATAAAAATATTTATAGGCATCCAAAGATAAGAACCTTCTTAGTATTCGAGCCGTATTTAAGGCGATTCTCCGACCAAAACCTTTGTGATAGTGCGTTTTTCAGAGACTATTATCTCATTAGTTATGAGAAATAAACTACATCTAAAAGCACATTATTAATGTTCGATATCCTGTCATCACATTCCACGTTCTAATTTGTTTTTATGTGTTATAAATACATTTAAAATCTACTTTTAAAAAATGACTAAAATTATTGATTACATGCATCTGTTGCTAAAGGCAACGCTCTAATCATTTGAGAATTACACTAATGGATAGATAATTAAAAAATCTATGTTATTCACGTTTTATTTAATTTTTAAAGTTCTTTTTTTTAATTAAAATAATTCCAATAATTGTGTGAATTTTATGATAAAGCGGCGTACGTCTAAAGAGGGAACGACTGCTCAAGGTTACTTGGTCAGGGAAACGCCTTAATAAGGCCGACTTTGAATTAATCCCTTCAGCGACATGTCCAAACCTAACTTGTACAGATAATCGTCCACATTTTACCGATTATATTATTATTATTTATTATAGTCGGGTTATCCATGGTACATAAGGAATAACTAGTGTGGAGATTTTATAGCTTATGTTTGAAACGCATTAGAAAAAATATTGAATATTATTAATACACAAAACTAGATACTCTAACAAATTTTAAATTATATAAAATGTTAAATACTCACAATTGATTTCATGATTATTGAGTACCGGTGCTACTGGAGTGAGAATGTAGTATGATCAATTATCGGCGCGTACGCAGCTTGGTATTTTCAAATAGACCACAAGACCCGCCGGGTTAGGCTACACATCCTGCGACCACTTAGATGTCGATATGTACGTGTCACGAAATGCATGCCTAAGGGCGTTGCTACACTGGGTTATTAAGGTCGTTGATAGATTGAGAGATCTAGGATAGTTGTTCAGAAATTACTAATTGTTTTATGCCTTTACATTCGTATGTATTTTCCTATGTATGTTATGTATTATTTCAGCCCTTGTAATAACTTTAGCCTATATTTGTGTATTTTACATAAGATATAGGTATATGTTATTGTATGTTGTTATTAATTTTAAACAAACTGCCACTTATTTTCACCATGCCGTGGGTTGACTGGTATACGTAGATCACTCAATAAGTTTTGAGATGGAATGGATGGAACGCACCCGTGTTATATTTTTAAAAATTAAGTTTATTTAAAAATAGAACTTCATAAGCCAATTGCCAAATATTAAAAAAAAAACAGAGTTCTATTAATTTTCCTGCAACGCTTCCCGCGCTTTTCATTTAAAACGATGAATCTGAACCGTGAACATTTGCACACTGTGATATATTATGATTTTAAATTTGGTTTAACCGAACAATTAAGTTTACAACGGTTACAATCAGCATTAGGGAACTCAGCTCCATCACGCGCATTAATTTTTAGGTGGCTTGCTGAGTTCAAAAGGGGTAAAATTAATCTTAAAGATGACCAAAGACCAGCAGTAACGGTAGAAAATGTATGGACTACTGAAATTTTCGTACGAGAAGACCCACGAATCACATATACGGACATCGAAAAGATTGTAGGAATTAGTTCGGGGGACATTCATACCATCCTACATCAACATCTTGGAGTGAGGAAGCTTTGTTGTCGATGGACCCATCGTTTTCTCTCCGAAAGCGAAAAACAGACTCGTGTGGATTGATGCCGTGAAATGCGTCTACGTTTTGAAAACGGGGCACCTAAGCGTGTTTCAGAAATCGTTACTGGTGACGAGACATGGATTTATCAATATGATCCAGAAAATAAAATGCAATCATCGGTATGGGTCTACTCAGAAGGAGAGTTACTGACAAAACTGCAAAGACCTCGCAACGTCGGCAAAAAAATGGTGGCTAGTTTTTTTTCGGGGAGGGACATTTGTCGACGACAATGCTGGAAAATTGTAGGTCAGTCAACTCTGAATGGAATGAGAAACAGAAACAGAAACAGAAACTTTTTTATTCAATATAGATTATAAATAATACTTATTGAAAGTCACTCTTTTGTTTGATTACCACTGGTTCGGAAAAAACCTCTGTCCTGGGAAGAACCAGCAAGAAACCCAGCGGGACTTTTTTTTAAATAACAGCTTACAACAACAACACAACAAATTAGAAATAGCTTGGTAGCGATCACCTCATTTCCAGGGGTTATTATCATCCATAAATTCCTTAATATTATAATAACCCTTTTTATACAAACTTAGTTTAATAAAGTTTTTGAACTTTGAACAGGTTAAACTTTGTATACTTTCTGGAATTTTGTTGTAAAAGCGTATACATCGCCCCAAGAATGAATTACTGACTCGATGGAGCCGAGTAACTGGTACTACTAGCTTGTGTCTTTTCCTAGTATTTACAGAATGAATATCACTTATTTTTGTAAAACTACTTTTATTTTTGTGTACGTACATTACATTTTCATAAATGTATTGAGAGGTCAAAGTTAATATATTAATTTCCTTAAATTTTTGTCGCAGCGACTCTTTAGGCTTTAAATCATAAATTGCTCTTATGGCCCTCTTCTGCAAAACAAATATAATTTCAGTGTCAGCTGCGTGTCCCCATAGCAAAATACTATGGAACAAAATATTATGCTATGGAAGTAGCTGAAGTAAACTAGTCTAGCTGTTTCAAAACTGGTTAGACTTCTAATCTCTTTTACAGCATATGCTGCAGAACTAAGTCTGCTTGCTAGTTTTGATATATGGGGGCTCCATTGAAGCTTCGCGTCTAGTGTGATTCCAAGAAAAATGGTGGTATCTACAAGACTCAGTTTCTCCCCATTTAAAATTATATTAGTATTTAATTGTTTGACATTTGGAGTCACGAATTTCATACATTTTGTTTTAGTGCCATTTAAATGCAAATTATTAACATCGAACCAATTTACTAATTTAGATATAGCATTATTTACTTCGTCATATTTTAGTAACTGTCGACTTAATTTGAAAATTAAAGAAGTGTCATCTGCAAATCATACTACGAGTATATCATGGTTATCCCCTACTATGTAAGGTAAGTCATTAATGTATACAAGAAACAGAAAGGGGCCGAGAATTGAGCGTTGAGGCACGCCTATTTGTACCATCGATCCGGAAGAGCTCATATTGTTAATGACAACTTTTTGCGTCCTCTTACTTAAATATGAAATAATTTAAGGGCATCACTTCTTACACCGTAGTGTTGAAGTTTCCTGATTAATGTTTCATGGTGAACACAATCGAAGGCCTTGGATAGATCACAAAATATACCCAAAGCATCCTGTGAATTCTCCCATGCATTAAATATATATTTAATCAGCTCAACACCGGCATCAGTTGTCGAGCGACCCCTTGTGCAGATGAGAAGACCAAAGACCGGGCTTCGGGGAATCATGCTGCATCACGATAACGCCTCTTCTCATACCTCCCTTAGAAGAAAAGCATTTATTGCGGAATCTGGTGTAGAAACTCTAAGTCACCCACCCTACAGCCCTGAAATAGCTCCCTGTGATTTCTTTTTGTCCCCAAGAGACAAAGAAAAAATAAAAGGCAAGTTTTTTCAAGCGCCGAATAATCAGTGGCTGCCTACGAAGAAGTGATTTCCGACCTGTCAGATCAAGACTGGCAAAAGTGTTTTCAGAGTTGGTTTAGGCGAATGGAACTTTGTATAGAGCATGATGGAGAATATTTTGAAAAGATGTAAAATAAATATTAATAGTAAATAGAATACTTTTTGTATATCTCAAAACCTAATGAGTGACCTACTTAATGAATATTTTTACACCGCCACTACACAATCATTATCACATATTATCCCGTAGGTGTCGCAAGAGGCGACAAAGGGAAACTGAATCAGGAGATAGGTAGGAGCATTTTCATGATAACATTTGAATAAAATTTAAAAAACTGTGGTTGCCAACCTTAAGCGGGCGACTATGGCAAACATCTCTGAGGCAATCTTTTAATATTTAATAATCAATTATTTAAAAAAAATCTATAGAGGGAGGACTATGTTTAGCAGTGGGATATTCATAGGCTGTTATAGTAATGGTAAGAAGTAAAGGTGAATACAACGTATCGTAGGACAAGCGACCTGCCCCGGCTTCGTACGGGTGCAATGGGCCCCTAACTAATATGGGGCAGTGTGGAGTGATTAATAATGATTAGTCTATACTACAGGATTTCTTTGTATGCAATATTTATAATTAAAACATCTTCTCCAGTATAAGTATTGTGCACTTTATTATGAAAGTTTTAAGGGACTTTATCAATAATCGCGTACCGTTACATAATAAAGGCGGATTAAGGTTCCTTAATAAAATAACAGGACAACCTACTCTTTCAACACCAGTTTATATGGAGAGAGTCCAGACGGGTTCAAAGAATTAAGAAATTCTGTGGGAAAATGAATAGCCTCTTCAAAATCGACTAGAGTGTCGACCGAGTAGTATATTATAGTCAGTGCATCAATATTTGAAAGAATCAAGTTATTCACCTTATCTACCTGATTGTTAGTAGGTGAGAGGATCGCTCTTTCTTTGAACCGAGATATAGTCTTACAACTTATGTTATCAATGTCGGGATGGACACCGTTGAAAAACTCTTGAATGATATTTATTAAAACACAAAGGTTTTGATTGTCTACGGTCAATCCTTCCTTCTTTTGTGTTAGATCTCCATTGTCAACTTTGATTATGATCTCTGAAAAAATCTCACGTAAAGACAACGAAACTCTCATGTTTGTTTTAAGTTCTAGTTTATTGACGTATGGCCAAAGGTAAGATCTTTTTAATGAGGCATTTATTTAATCAGCACGTGTAACTCTAGTCACAACTGGTAGAATTTGACGAAAGTCACCTGACAACAAAATTGTACATTCACCCATTAGTCAGTTTTTGCTGCGCAAATCGCGCATTGTTCTATCCAATGCTTCAACGAAAGTCTTGTTCGATATGGTGGCTTCGTCCCAAACTGTTAGCGCATCACGCATCAATTTCCCCGTACTGCTTTGTTTAGAAATGCTACAGACAGTGTTAGTATCATTATTAGAAATCTTTAGCGGGAGTTTGAATGTCGCGTGTGCGCTTCGGCCTTCTTCTAAACGTGTAGCTGCAACGCCGGATGATGCTACGGGTAATGATATTTTACCAGTAGACCTGACTTTCGCTAAAAGCAAATTGATTAAAAATGTTTTCCCTCGGCCTCCCGGAGCATTAAGAAAAAATAATTTTCCTTCATTCTTATCAATTGATGATAGTAACGCAATTATTACTTTTCTTTGATCGATGTTCAGGCGAGGTTCATCTTGAGCTACAACTTGTATCCGTTTTGATTGATCTAAGTTAGTAATATTAGTTGGCATCGGTAATCCAAAATCCTTGAGAGATTTACCTGAAAGTAATTGCACTACTTTGTTCAATTCAAATAACGCTTTATCAAAAATGTTTTGGTCATATTGAACATCATATAAAAATATTTTCTTGAAATTTATTCCATAGACTAACAGAGTCGATCCTTGATAAAACGCTACAATGATGGCAAACAAATATATCAATGATCCAGGTGTACTGCACATAGCAGCTTCTGATAATGTGTTTTCCCAGTGAGAATCATCTTCCAAGAGAGCCCTAGCTTTGCATGCTGCTTGATAAGTATTAAATAACACCTTCTTCAGTTCTCAGGTGTGCAAAAGATGTTGGACCTTTTATAACATGCAGTAACATTGTCAAATAAAAGCAATCACTGTTGTTGGGATGAATCACATATATCCTCCCAAGTTTTTATTGCGATTCTTCAAAAATTGTCTAGTTCTTAAAATAATTCAAAAAGGGATAATGTGAAATATAAAATACATTAACGCAATAAATCGTAAATTAAAAAAAAATAGATTCTTTATTATTCCCCGTCCCCAGCCTGAATTAGACCTCTGCTAGGGTTGCTTTTGTAGGAAAAATATGCCAAAATCGGCTCACTTGGTAGGAACATTGACGATCGCAGTATCTGATTTTGATATTAGTTTTCCGTTTTTGACGCTACTCCCCATTATTGGTCTAAGTATTTTCTTACATCTGGCATATGCGGAATATATTTCACCATTAATTAGAGGCTACGTTTAACATTTTTTAAGATCACTTTTCTGACCATTGTGGATTGAAATATCACCACGATCTTACGCTTCTTCCATGAGGCTGATTCCTTATTGATTTTTTATAGGATAAAGGTGACAAATGAGCACATAGTCCGTCTGATGGTAAGTAGTTGCTGAGGCCCATAGACATCTACATCCATCCTCGACTACGAATAAATATGCAGATGCGTTGTCACCCGTGAGGACTGAGATGGAATGCCTCGTTTTCAATAAAAGGGTGTCCGGTTCTCTACACTCACCATGCGTGGTCCTTCCCCGGTCGAGCTGACTACAAATATACTATTAATATAGCTGCAGCATAGCTCTACCACGTACATGTATGCTTCATAGCAAATATCTCCTCATTTGGTAACCCCTGTAGTTTAATTTTCTTTTTAACCCCCCCCCCCCCCCACGAAAACAGTGAGATGCAAGAACATTGCGTATCTGTGGAACTAATATAGATTAGGTTTTTTTTTTCATTTGAAAGTAATTAATACACAATCGAGAGAGTTCTTAGCTATTTTTTTTAGAAAATCAGTTCAGCCGTTTGTAGATCATCAGTTCTTTTTGTTACGGGGGTTTTTAAAATTTAAGTTATAGTTTTTGTTCATTGACTATTGATTATACAGAGAACATTATTTCTGAAACTGTGAACATAGTAAGCGTCCGAACAAAAAAGGCAAGCCGAGTTCTTACAAAACTACTTGAACAATTTTCTTGTACGGGTATAATTGAGCAAGGTATGAATGTAACTGATAACGCATTTCGCAAATATCGCAATGCTAGTGATACCTACTTTCTTAAGGAATTGAATAAAATTTTAATGCGACCGTTGCTTTAATATAAACTACAAATATTAGTTTCAAATGGTCTATTAATAATAAAGGGTTTATTACAAACAATGTTTATTAATTTGCTAATTTATTATAGCGTATAAAGTCCAGTCCGTTGGGGTTGTCAGTCGCAGTTTTTTTTTATTAGGAAGAAGCTATTATATGAAGCTAGGGTATGCTTCTTTCAGATTCATTATCTTCTTCATACATGCACGTCTAGGTATCCGAGTACTCTTGACCCTTCCCTCTTCGAGCAATTTGCTCACATGGTCTTCGAAAGTTAGTCTCGGTCTACCTCGACACCTTTTAATATTAACTTTCGCGCTATATATTTTCTTCACCATTCGGTCTTCACTCATTCGCTCAACGTGCCCAAACCACCGAAGCACGCCCTTATCAATTTTTGTGATAAGGTCATCTTTCAAACCTGCCATATTGCGAATCTCTTCGTTTCGCTTTCGGTCGGCCATGGTAACGCCGCACATTTTACGAAGAGATCGCATCTCCACTGCATTCAACTTACTTTTATGCTTCTTCTGGCATACCCAGGTTTCGCTGCCATATAACAAAGTCGGTACCAACACTGCGTTATGTATTGCAAGGCGTGCACTCTTCACTACGCCTTGCCTTTTGACTAACGCAGTCAGGGCACCATTGACTTTGTTCCCGGCAGCGATACGCCTGTCCACATCTAAATCACATCTTCCATCCCGGCTATAAGCACTCCCCAAGTATACAATTTCATTTACTTGTTCTAGACATTCCTGATTTACCCATATTTCACACTTCGTTCTCTCTTCGTCCCTTTCAAATACCAGAACCTTAGTTTTATTAGCGTTCAAACGGAGACCTTTAATTTCACATTCCTCTTTCATACACGTGACTAATGCCTGCAGTTCTGCCTCTGAAAGAAGCGAAAGAGGTATGTAAGGATCGTGACACTTGGCGATCTGTTCTCTCTGGCTACCCCGTCAGGGATTGTGCGTGAAGATAAGGGTATGCTCTTCTTCTGGTTTCCTACCTCCTGCCGCCTCTTATGACATCCATGGGATGAAATTGGGTAGTGAATCTTACACCGTCACTACTTGGTGTTATGTTATTTAGATTGAAGGTAGAGCTGTAAACGTTTGGTCTTTTTTTCGCATCGATTATAAATAATAATTTGTTTGTATATTCATCTTTTATGCGATCCTCTACCCTCTATAGTTTCCCCCTGTCGCCTGTTACGACATCCACGGAATTATATGGGGTATAATTATTATACCCACTGTATTCATACACCGCCACTACACAGTTTGATAACATACATTCGATTACTATGAAACTTAGATGAGTAAGTGTGCGTGCCTGCAAAGGTTTGTTACAAAAAATGGGCATTGCGACGTATGCTGGGCACAGTTAGTAATTTTATAGTGTATAAGAGAGCTTGCGATATGAAATAGCTGACATAACTAGGAGAAATATATTTTGGTATGTCTAATGAATAATGGAAACGCAATAGCATGAATGCTTTAAGTTTTTATTTAGTAATATTATGTAACACGTCATTATATATTTACTTATATAGGATAGACCTCATTGCCTATTACATATTTACACTCTGAGGGTCTAAAGTCCTGATTACTACTGGTACATACAAATAAATAAAATTGAAGTGTCTGTTTGTAATGTTAAAATAACAGCTTTTTACAAAATACATATGAATGTATATCGGTACTTATAACAAAAACATAATTTTTAAAATTTTTGTCTGTCTGTCTGTCTGTTTATTCCGGCTAATCTCCGAAACGGCTGGACCGATTTCAACGGGACTTTCACAGGCGAATAGCTGATGTTCTAAGGAGTAACTTAGGCCACTTATATTTGAGAAAAATAATTAGGGTTCTGAGCAATATAATTAAAACCCTAAATTACACGCGGGTGAAGTCGCGGAGAACAGCTAGTATATAAATAAAATTGAAGTGTCTGTCTGTAACATCGAAATAACTGCCTTGTATCAAACTCAGTGGGTTATTTGCAGGATATTAAGACATGAATAACCAGTTCTCAATGTGTTGTCTGTCTATTGGATGAATTCCGTGCTTTTTGACAGTCTATGACTCTTGACTTTGACTGCATTGTTTTGTAGTTCACTCAGTTACCTTTACCGTTACCGCTACAGCCTACTAAAGTCCACTGCTGAACACAGTTCTCCCCCATAGACTGCCTTAAAGGTTATTTGCTGTAGTTCCCACGGTTGAACCGTACGCCTTTGAAGTTTGGCGTTGACAAGATGATTATACGCCATCTAGGGAAAGAAAAGAAGAAAGAAAGTACATTTTAATATGGCTATCGCATCATTTTTTTGACATTTCCCATAATCGTCTCTTACGATAAGTGATGCCAGGGGGTGATGGATCCTGTTACGGAGACAATAGATGACCATCACTGTTATTAACATTATTTTTCTTAATTTTTTTTAAACTTTTATTCTAACATGGCCAACATCTTTATTCAATCATTACTGAAATCAGTCTGTCTAAATGTATTTAATTATATACAATATTAAAAACTATAATAATAAAAGAAAAATGAAATCTAGAAACTTAATTATCATATAGTCCTACTCCCCGCGGTATCGTGCTAAGAACGCTGCGTTTCCCCGCTAAATGGCTATACTTAGCCTTTGAGCGAAAAAAGAACCAGCCCTCTTATCACCAGCAACAACAAAAAGCCGCGGATGGAGTTCCTTTATGAACTTCACCGCACGTGGACCCCACGGACCGATAGTCTCTACAGCACATGCCACAAATTTAAATTTTCATTGGTGCCGGTGGGGATCGAAACCGGGTTGCTCGAGTACTGTGAAGCTTACAGCGAGCGCTAACCAACTGAGCTACTAGGGCTCAGATACTACACTAATATTTGCAACAATATCATATTATATAAGTAATTTATTTTTATTCAAAAAAAGGAAAATATCATAATGTTCCTTTGGTTTTTCATTCATTTCATTATATACTCGTGGTGGAGCCATTCTGCAGCCATTATGCAATGGGTCTGCTCAACCGGGGTAGGACCACGCTCTCATAGAATACCAGTGTAAAGAGCAAAGCTGTGTTACGTATGGTGAGCGTAGAGAACCGGAGACTCTTTCTTACTGGAAACGTGGCATTCCATCTTCGTCCTCAGGGGTGATAACTTTTAAATGTGATTCTTAATTGAAGATAAGGAGGAGGTAGATAGATGTCTTTGCGCCACAGCATTCACTTACCATTAAATGGTCTGTGTGCTCGTTTGTAACCCTTATGATATTTAAAAAAATACTTGTTTTTTCCGTTTATTTTTAGATTGAATAAAAAGTTTGGTATTAATTTCCCCAAAATCAAATATTCTCTTATTAAAAAAAATCGTAACGAA